ACACAAACGGGGAGTGGGAGAGGGAGAAGCAGACTCCCCGCCGAGCAGGGAGCCCGACGCGGGACTCGATCCCGGGACTCCAGGATCATGACCTGAGCCGAAGGCAGTCGCTCAACCAACTGAGCCACCCAGGTGCCCAAGCTTATTTATTTTTTAAGCTTATTTATTTATTTAAGTAATCTCTACACCCAATGTGGGTCTTGGACTCAAGACCCCTAGATCAAGAGTCCCATGCTCTTCCGACTGAGCCAGCCAGGCACCCAAGGTTCTAATCTTTAAAGGTACCAAGGGAGGGACTGGGACTCAGAGAAGAGGCACTTGATTGGATCCCAGAGCTGTGGGCAGGGCTAGAGCCTCACACTCATGCTGGTGGTGTTGCCCCTGAGAGGAACTTTTGAGGTCCCAAGGAATTGGGAGTCATAAGATGGGTAGCTGAATTTCCAGCTCAGACTTGAGGGACCTGGGGACCAGGTGGTTAGGGGGCTGCTGGAGGGAAGGTGATGAGGAAGGTTGAGAGTGAAAAATTATATATAGGAGGTGGCTTGGAGGGATGAAATTAAAATGGATGGCATATGGAGCCATCCAGACATCCTGACTACCACTTCAGAGCGGTGGGAGCTTCAGAAGGGAGGGGAAAGGGAGCAGAAAGACAGGATGATGTTAGTAAAGGTGGAACAGAATTTCAGGAACACCCTTTGACTGCTCCCTCCATGCAGGTTTTCTTACCTTGACTATGCAGAGGGGAGCCCATCTGGGGACTGAAGGCTGAACCCCCTCTTCCAAGGTCTGGGGTGATCCCATGCCTGGGACCGAGTGTGCTCAGATCCTTGGGGTGGGGGGACTACTTGGAGGGCTCTGAGGGGCCTGGGCTGTCCTGGCTGGAAGAGCACTGGGCCAGGGGGACTTCGGTGGAGGGTTTGGGTGCTGGGAACCAGGAAGAGCCGGGGAAGGGGCAGAGCTCAGTCCAGAGGCAGATCGGCTGGCGGAGAACAGAGGGTGTATTGTCCAACCAGGAGGTTGCTGCTGCTGGGCGTGGAGCTGCACAGTTCGCCTCTTCCAAACTCCTTTCTGGTGAGGCGGGAGGGCGAGGGAAGTCGAGTCTCCCCTTCACTTGTGGCCCTGGTGGGGGCTATGACGGTTGCCAAGAAACAAGGTTTTATTTGAGAATTAATGCTGCCCAGGAGCAGATGTGTAGCTCTCCCACTTCCTGAGAAACCAGATGCTGTGAGCTTGCTTAGTGCTTGAGTTGAAGCCTTCGGCACTGACTGGGACCTCCCTGCCTTGGGACCGGAGCCTAGAGCTCGATCCTGTTTAGCATCTATGCTGTGGACTTACAGGGGATCCAAGCAGCTTGGAAGTGACCCTTGTAAAATAGAATGCCATAGCTGAATCCTTCTGGTCACTCAAGATTCATTGCAGGATGACAGGGTGCACCAATCCTGGGATCCATTTCTGCAGCTATGCTTCTGAGTGTCCACCCATCCTTCTGAGGATGGGGCCATGCCAGCACCTACCTTTTCCTTGGATTTCGAGTGCCCTCTTGGGACACAGTACAGGGAGCTCCTTCTCTACCCTTCCTGTGCCCAACCAACGTGAAGCTGTTAAGTTAGATTTTCCCACTTTTATTCTTTCCATCATTCACCTGGTCCTCTGGGGAGTAGCTCGAAATGAATGAAGGCTTGGAGAAAGGGGCAGACCGACGCCAGCGGTGGAGGTGGGTTCCCCATGCAGCCTGGGTGTTTCGCTCTCACCTAAATCCACGTGGAAGGCTTGCAGTCAGCACAGAGCCCTGGGCCTCTTATCCCTCCACGTTTGAAGAGATCAGTGCACCGCCAAGAACCCCAAGAGCAGCTACTGTGAAAGCCACGTGTGTAACTGGGCTCCCATCTGTCTGCACATCCCCCCCATCTTCCTCCAAATTGCTGAGGTTTCCGGGGTTCTTTGCTCCACCCCCTTGTGACCTTAAGGATTCTTAGCCACTGTCCTCTTTCCTGCCTTGCAACAACGAACA